TGCGCATGGGCAGAGGACTCTCTTGTGAAGCGGAGGATTTTTGATGAAAACTTATGACCTTATTAATTTTGTCACATGTTTTGTATTAATTTGTTTTGTTTTAATAATGTTGCTACTGTTGTGTTGAAAGATACCGAAAGATATACTAGTATAATTTAGTGTCACCTTTTTGTGACAAAATTCTTTCGCACTGTCATAAATAGAATTAAAAAGCTCACAAACTATTTTCACCTTTCCAGAACTCGCATCCATTCACTCAGACAAATATAAATTAAGCCCTTGATCTTTAAAACGTCAAGGTCATACCTGGAAGGATGTTGGAAACCATGCGAATAATTATATCCTTAGACGTATCAAGAAAGGAGTGGGCACATTTGTCTTCGAATTAGACTGGCAAAAAGTGGCATTAATGCGTAAATGGATCCAGTGGGCTGTGGGAGACGCACCAATTTGAGACAAAGATATTGAAATAGTATTCTGCAATGGTATTAAACAAAGTCCGCCCCTCCCCCTTTTCCGTTATCGTCTGAGTGGAGATGAGCCGTTAGAGGTTTGAAAATTGGCCGTGAAACATTCTGAGAGCATTTTTTTTTTTTTTTTTTTTTTTTTGGGGGGGGGGGGGATATTGTCACCTTAAGTTGTCAGAATCGTTTTTCCTACTGATTCCAATTGGAGATGGTCGGTGGGTGTATTCCTTGAGGGAGATCCCACCCCCCCCACCCCTCCCCCCCTCCCTCCCTCGAAACGGATTCACTTTTGTTATTGGATAGGAAGTTGGTACTATCTCTAGGACGTGTCTGACCGCGCATTGTAATGGAAAAGAGTGATCATGGTGATGGAGGTTTTATCGTTTAATTTCGGTCATGACTGATGCTTCGATTTCGCGGAAAGTCTTTTTCATTCGTTCTAGACCTACGAAGAATTCAACTTTTATGCTGAATTCATATATCATAGGTAGAATATTCTCTTGACGATTGATCTATAGCAGCCTTTTTGCTTTCCCTTCCATATTTTGTCACAAAGGCACAAAGAATATTCGTGTAATATTTCTACCCTTTCCATTCCATCCCCTTCCTCTCTCTCTCTCTCTCTCTCTCTCTCTCTCTCTCTCTCTCTCTCCCTTTCCCCTCCTTCACCCTCCCCTCTCTCTTCCTTCCCTTTATCATAAGTTGTCCCAATCAGTGGCTAGATCAGTGGTTTAGGAGCCGAGTGGTCACCGGTTCGAAACTAGGTTGCATGGACAGTGCTTTAAAATTAGAATTCATTCATGATATATTTCCAGTGACCCTAAATTAGTAAAGATAAAGTTGAGTTTTGACCATGCGATTGCACTGTAAGAAGAACTGCCTTGAGGCAACTGGAAAAGGTTGATACGGTAGGGTCTTAAATAAGAAGAAATTATTAGATCATGCTGACATTCAAATGCACTATACACAGAAATATGCTAATGGGATTACACAAATATGTGGAATGAAAATTTGTTCCAAGCATTTTTGATATTTCTTGACATATATCAAATATGAAAGCACTTGAAGATCCACTTTTTTCATGAGACATTTTTGGTATGATTTTCTTCCACACTAGCATAAAAAGAATGCAAAAACTAACGAACTATTTTTGTTTTCACTTTTCCAAATACTCGATCGAAAAAACATCTCTTTAAATCTCTTCATTCTAAATTAGCTCGATGTCAGGGTGGACTTCCCCTTTAATTGTTTAATCAATGCAGAGCTATATGCCTAAAACCTATTAATGCTTGGCACTATATTGATGGCATTGTAATTTGTAGGATGATGGTACATATAGCTTCGAGATGACAAACTTAAAGGGAACAAGATGCGTTGGTGGGGGGGTTTGTTTAGTGGGGTAAACAGTATATGTCTGTCTGTTATATTGTATATAGTAATAGTTTAACGATTTCATTGATAATAATTCATTTTATCTTGTTTGATTTATGTCAGACCTTCGGTAGAAACAACAGCTATCATGTAATGACACGACTGAACAGGGCTATTGTCATTTAGGTCATTATCTATATTTTCATGGGTGATTATGTTCAAATTAAATCAAATCAAAGTTTGGGAAGACTGGAAAGCTCTTCCTTCCATGAGGATTACGGGCTTGAGAGGCCCTTTAACTCCCTGACCCATCAAGAGGATAGTACCATTAGTAGGTCCATGGTAATCCATGTGAAAAGGGGGCTTTCTTACTTCTTGTGAACAAGTCAAGAACCCAAAGATTATGAAGAAGAGAGCGAGAGCCCTTCATTCGATCAAGATCACAGGCTGAAGAGAACCTTTAACCGCATGATCCTTTAAAGGGTTACTACTTGACACTACACTGATGGCATTAACATTTGTATGATATAGCTTCGAGGTAATGTATGTGAACAATAGCATAAAGTGGTGGTGTCGTGGTATTGTGGTTCATTCAATTGACTCTCCTGAATTAAATGGTTGAAAATTCAGTCCCAGCCTGGCACTTACTTAACATCCTTTGGCAAGACACTAATTCATATTAGCCGCTCTCCACCTATGTGTTCGCCGCTCTCTACCTATATGTGAAAATTATTTCCTGGCAATTCCTGGGGTAATAATAATAATTGCAGGGGCCCTCAGGAAGAACGGCTGATGAAGCTTCCCCTGGTATTATTAAAATTATTACCATATATTAAAGTGACTCGGTAACATTGCCTCAGATTCTGAAACAAAATCCTGGATTTAGCTCATGCTGCAATCATAATTATAAACCTTTAGGGCAGTCAGGAATCCCATGACTTTTACAAGCCGATCGCCTGTCTGATTATCAAGATATTTATGATTGGAAATCGAAATCAAATTGAGTTTTCCTAACGGTTTTAAAACACTACAGTCTATTGGGGAAATGAGCATGGTAAAACCGGTCACTCAAATATTTTCTACATTTTTTGAGGCACTTCATGGTAATTTTGAAGCGCGATTTTTACGGGCTTTAGTATTAAACCATATCACAGACACTTATAACAAGTAAGGCCATGCATCTCAGATTTAACAGTGTTAAATGATGCCTTTCTGGCAAGAATGGGAATGGGACCTCTTCCTTCGATCCAGATCATGGGCTGAACTGGACCTTTAACTCCATGATCCATGGTGAGGTTAATACTTGACACTTCATTGATGGCATTGTCATTTGTCTGATACATAGCTTCGAGATGACAAACTTGGCTTGCCGTTGTTAAAGTCGTCACTCGTTTTATTTAAAGAAGTTGTAAGGAAAGTGCCCTATCGGGGAAATTTGATTAGATAGTTCGGTTTGAATTCCAGAGAATTCAATCAGGATAACAACATTATGTCGAACATGTTTTTTTTTTCTTTCCTTTGTTTCTTTCTGTTTTCTTTATTGGGGAGGGGATGTCTTGTTGGTTGATTTGTCTTTGTTGTGTCATTATTGTTAAACATGTAAAAGAAGTGTCAATGTAGTTCAGGGGCAAGATAATGTAGTCACTGTTTGTGGCTTTTCAATGAGAGTTTTAAAGATATTTCTGATAATTGCTGACAAATACTAAATCAATTGATCTATAAATGAAATCAATATATTTTGTTCGAATTTGAGACAACGTTAGTGTTAAATATTATTCAATTGGTAAATTAAGGGCTATGTGATCGTTTTTTATCACAAAACCATTAAAGTGTAATCAAATGTGTCCAATTTAGCCGAAATAAATGAAATGATAACAAAGAAGAAGAAAGAATGATACAGAGATTATAATATATATTATATATATATTAAACATCAAAATGGTTTATTACCCGAATAACCGCTTCTCGAATTTTGTTTCGAAATTTGTATTTATCCAGTTTTACTTACTTTCCGTTGCCATAATATTTTCCCAAAGGTAGTTCTAACTTCTAATCTCATTTAATCAGATATTTATGAAATAAACAATTTAGAATAGGATTTCATTATTTGTCTTTCTTTTTCTCATCAACGATACCATTTTACTGAACTCCATCTCAAGGACAAAGGTTATCGTAATGGGAATGCCAGATTAAAGTTTACGAATTATATTTTGATTGGTGTTTATGCTGATGAAAACGAGATAATCGAATAGACGTGTGAGATGTAAAAAAGTTGGTTAGGGTGTCTTTAAGTGGGGTCATACATGAGGTAGAAACTAGAAAGTCACTTCATAGTTTTAAAACAGGTTGATTATGAGTAAAATACAATAAAATTACACGCAACAAACTCAGCTTTTAAGTAGGCTCATTTTTTTCATTTCCGGATTTAATAATTTAGAGAATCTGCTTTCATGTCATCAATTACTATGATTCAGGATTAAATACTTCCATATAAATTAAAGATTTGTTATTATTTAGCAGAACATATCATGCTTTGTTAATTTTGCATGGGATATGTTTGTTTTTTTTAATCAATATCCCCCCCCCTCCCCTTCCCACACACAAACGTACACACCCACACAAGCACACACAGATTGTACAATCTGTATTTTGTTTGACAGCGAGAGGAGAGAGTCAGAAGGGAGAGAAAGAGAAAGAGGGAGAGAGAGAGAGAGAGAGAGAAAGAGAGAGGAGAGAGAGAGAGAGAGAGAAGGGGTACATGAGATATCGGATGGGCCAGGGAGAGATGAAAGGCAGAGAAAGGAATTTACGAAGAATAAATCAACAGGATTAGAGGGGAGAGGGGTGCAAGAGAACTTTTGGGGAAAACTACCTGTTTTCCCTAATTCTCCACAAATTCTCTCTCAAAGTTATCCTCAAAGTGTACTAGAATGACGGTGGATAAAAGAGGAAAATAGAAAATAGGAACGTACAGGAGAGAGAGAGAGAAAGGAGAGAAGGGGATCATAAGAAAAGATGTTCATGCCGTTGCCATCTGGTCTACTCATGCTGACTCTGCGTGAATTCTAATTCACTTTTTTCCCTTATGCCCTCCAAAAGTTTTTTCCTTCTTTCATCCGATCGCTCACCCTCGCACTGCGGACGAGCGAGCATGGATGGCGGTAACGCATCGGTCTCACGCATATGCGCTCTCCCCGAACGCTGGAACAGTACTCAATAGCGGACTATCGTGAGCGCATCAGTGGTCGAACCGGTGCTGCACCTGACAACATAAAAACCTCTGACATACGGAAGTTAACATCATTATAACAAAATACATCAGACAGGTTCGAGCTCGGGAAATCCTAATTGTGGACTATACCTGCCGGAATCTTTTTCATCTGGATTTTTACTCAATTTTTCACATCAAGGGGAACATAATACGCTGACTATTTTTTTGTTGATCGTGCATTTACCATGCCGGGCACGATGGGAACTTTCGGCCGTCTGTTCATTATATGTATGACTGTGGGATTCACATTAGTGAATGTCAACTCGGTGGTAAGTATTGGCAGATTGTCAACGAACTTCAATATATTGCTCTCGGCTGTATTGCTGAATAGACATGTGGCATAATGTCAGTAGTGATTTGTGTAATCTTTCAATTTCACGTACAGCTAGTGTGATCTTGAGAAAGTGTGCAGAAAGAGTCCTCACTTGTATGGGTCAGTGTCAAATCACATCTCCCTGGAATACATGGCACACACTATTACAAATCCTCTTCTCAAGTTTCTTCCCAGAGTCTCTCTCTGCTCAGTGTCGCTGCTCTGTAGGGTTTCGTCTGCGACTTGTGTATCAAAACTTCGATTTTCATCCTGTTAAAGTTTATGATTGTTGTCTCTCGATTAATATATTCTTTAGGGACATTATCCGACATGCTTCTGTTGAACATGCTTAAGGTATTATTACATGTTATTATTGTTAATGTTATGTTACAGTGTAATTATCCAGAAGCCACATAAACCATGTAGGGCCTAAGCTATGGCTATACCCATCTGAGTCATCTGCAAAGCAAAGCATTTTACCAATAATGAGTACGAATTCCCTGCTCATAGCCATTTGTTATTCAGCAAAATGTCGTGTTTCTACCTTAGACCACAAATAGTAAGTGTAGTGGTAATAAAAATAACTTCAGTGGTGGTTTAGTGTTGCCCCAACCCCGGTCTCACTCAGCCATGTCCCCCCCCCCCCCCCCAGAAAAAAGAGTGGAAAATGAAGAGGTAAAAAAAGAGGAACAAAATCTTTGTGTGTGTGTGTGGGGGGGGGGGGGTGGTATCTTTTAAAGAAAAAGTTGGAACCCCATTTCAGCATCTTCCCTTGAGTCCCTTAGCTCTATGGCCCTGTTCATGTTTATCCTCCATTTAATAATCCACATAATAACGGTGCCCCCCCCCCCTCATCCTCCTCGCATTATATCAGTGTTCCTCGATTTCTGAATCCACGCCACTGTTTGGCACCACGGCTCTCGCCTTGGTTAGTGGTTTAATTTTGTCCTTGGCTTTCATGTTATTTGTTACGGATGTTCAAGTTCATGTGTCTGCCATTTTAACGCATGATACGTGACATTTGTACCAGGGAACAATACTATAAAAAGAATTTCCTGCTTATTCTGTGACATTGCCGGCTATGGTCGGTATATATATATATATATATATATATCAGACCTGTCTGTTGTCATATCCAGCTTAAGTTTCGAACCCGGGACCTCGCGGTAACGAGACGGAGACCACTGAGCCATCGCGCATGTTTAACTCGTGATAAGTCGCGCAGGCCTACTTTCCTTACATGTGTTGAAAAACCCATTTCCACAAAGACACGATAGGTGATGCGACTTGATAATCTGTCATTATGTTTGTTCTGAAATAACAGAATAATTGAGTAATGGCCAGGAAACAGATAATCCTTGCACCCATTATGACAAAACGAAATCTCCTCGCTGAAAGTGTTCCTTGTCAAGAATCGACGGATATCCGTTTACGTAATAAAATTAAGTTCACTCTCTCGAACCGTGGGGCTTTTCATTTCCTTTTCATGATAGTGTTAATTATCAGAACTCACATAGATGGTCAAAATTGGTACCTTGCTCAACAATGTTCGATGACAGATTTTAACACCTGACTGCCCTTTTTAGTTCTTACAATTGACAAAGCAAAGGAAATAGGTACCTCTCGGGTAGAGGGAATGAACTTAAAGTATTGATTTTATTACGTAAACGGATATCCGTCTATTCTTGACTGTAGGCATGTAATTATGTCAACGAATCTGAATGAAACGTAACATCCGAGCGAAAGTTGTTTCATCGAGTCTTAAACCCATGGCAGCAGGTCGTACAGTTTTTACAGCACAATACAAACAAAAAATGAACCTCTATGTGATATACTTTGAAGTTCTGTGACAGTTATTAGGATTAGGACAATGGATTGGGTTCAATTTAGTCAATATGTTTATGCACTGGATGCTTACATGTTGGGTCCTGAAGTCGAATTTCGAAGGTTTGATTCATTTCAAATTCAAAGTGACATTCATTTTATTTTGTTCCAATTCTGTATACAACAGTCAAGTATTAAATTGCACATAAATAATGCCGTACTAAGCAACTTGATAAGAATGTCAGAAAGGTCATACACTTGACATGTATGCAGGATGGTGTTCTGTAGTCTTATTACGGAGGGGAAAAATGTTACTCCAAACACCATAGAATATATGATTGTATTTTATTTTATCTTTACGGTATGCGTTTTATTCAACGTTATGGATGGTGTTGAAATATGATCTTGTTCATGCATTTAGATGATCTAATAGAAGATAAATTATTCCCAAAACTAAAAGAACACAGATGACTGGTTCTTGTTCCAAACAGGCAACTCAGGTCGGGGAGGGGTTGGAAAGTGGATGGGATTAATGGGATCAGAATCACAAAATTGGATCCCTCCATTTCTACAAATTTTACTGACACAATATAGATTGAAGCATAACCTTCAGCAAATGTATACATGTACATTCTCTTTTGTAGTTTAATTAATTATTTGCAACATACATTATATTAAATTACATTGATTTCAGTGATTGATTTCTTGTCATAATCGTAATACTGAACGTTCTGTCGGAATTGAAAATAAGACTGAAACTTTAAAAAAATAAGTTTCAAGTGCAATGCCCGTATACGGGTCCTGTAAAATTTAGACATGACTGTGATTAAATCACCTAAAATAATTCTCGTTCAGCTTGATCAAGGCATATGTCTCACCTCCCTGATCTAGGTGATAATTGAGGGGTCATGCTATTTTGGGTGACACTTGTCAACCGATTATTCTTGGTCATGAGCTCGGGGATTAGATCAATTTTCTCAGCCAGGCGGATAACTACTCAATTGATAAACGTGGTTTTTGTTTTCAGGCTTGGTGCTGAAGTTGATGCACTCTGCGGAGATTTCTGTTGTCTTTTCAAGTTTTCAAGATTATCCAGTTTCTTTTTCTGTTTGTTTGTTGGCTCTGCTGGATGTTGACCAAAGAAATCAGTCAAAAAGCAAACGTGTTTTCATGAATTACATATGTATTAAACTAAATCGAAGTCAAACCATTACCTCCCATATAAATAAAACTGCCTTGCCATAATGACTTCTACCTTGCTCGTTCTACTTTTAATTAAAAGTTTACGCTTTCTCTATTCTTTTATAATCATTTTGACGAGTCCTATAGATCTATTAACTTTGTATTAAGTGTTTGTAATTGTATGCACTTCATAATCAGCCTTGCCACATGGCACAATGACTTCCAGAAAGTTTTCTGTCACAATGCAATCGCATGACCAGAATCCCACTTTCTATGCTTGTGATAAGATTTTGGGTCGCATGGAGATCTGTAAACTATCTGAATAAACTGGGTTTGGAATATATTATTGCTTCGTAAAGTTTAATAATGAATACCTCAACCTGACTTCCCCGGTATTTTAGTGGATTGATTGAAGCATTTCCCGGGCCCCTGTTCTGTTTGATTGGTGATTTTTAATGAAGCTTTTTAAGTTGTAGGAAAAAGAGGCATTTTTTAAGTTCCACCCACTTAGTTCAAGTCATATTTTGAAGGACCTTTTTTAAAGGTGAAGCAGAAGTTTTAAAAAAATGTGAAAAAAAAAACTCTAGCGAGTTGAAATATTAAACTGTTCATTTTATCAATATCCAAGACAATGATGATGGTATATAGTGTAGATGGTAGATATACTAAGTGTAATATATCGACAGTATCATGTGTTTTAGACAGTCAATACATGTATTAACGTTATGCTCTCTGACGTCAGAAAGTATAACTGGTTAGGGTCACCATGTGATTAAAATTCCCTGGAGCGAATGAAAATTGTCTAACTGCTATAAAAAGTCTTGATGTACATGTAGTAACGATTTGACAACAAACGACATACTTCAGCGTGTATACTCTAGGTGATTGGTAGCTTAGCAACGCGTAAAGCGTCTCAATATCGGCGATCGGAAATTTGGCCTAGATTTGAATTAGAAGAATAAACTTCGTTATGCCCATTTCCGTATTACATATTCTCTTCCTCCGTTTTTAGGGGAAAATCCAACCTTAATAGTTAATAGACAACTACTCTAGGTCTAAAAGAGAGCACAGAAGTCAGAGATGCAGACTTTTGTAAAAAAAAATATAGACATGTCAAGCTGTGAACATTCTGTTTTGCTTTTTTTCAACTGTAAGTATAGTTTCAAAAATTATTCGAAACAGATTTAATCTGCTTGACTGTGCGGGGATCATTACAAAAGGGCGTGGGTCTTTAGCTATTATTCGTCATTTCGTCCCACTAAACACAATAAGCCTCTTTATTTTACAGATTGTCTTTTCATCCGTCTTTTAATGTTTGAAAAAAGTAACATGTCAAGTTGTCAACATTTTGATTTTTGCAATTGTTTGTATGCGTATCTAAAACTACATAGTCACTTGAAAAGATTTAAGGATGCTTTATTGTACGGCTTAAAAGGACCATTATATCTAGCATATAAGTATTCGTGTGTATTGCAAGGTTCTGGAATCATCTAAATGATAAACATTCGGCCAAGTCTTGGTAAAGTTACAAACACTGTACACAGACAGATGTATATGGGACTACACGAACACGTGGCGTAAATATCCGTCCCGATTTTTACGATGTTACATGACAATTTAGAATATGAAGGCATTTTGAAGAGTCATGCTTTTCAGGGATCATGTTTTATCTAATGTTCTTCCACACTTGAATAATAACAATGATAACGCTCACAAATTATTTTTCACCTCTTACCTGAACTCAACCCTCTCTTTAAGTAAAGTATATCGTGATTTCTGTATTTTTTTGAAAACTGCAACCGATGAAATTTCACTTTGACGTAATTAAGACAAAGGTATGACCAACCAACAAACAATGAATGATGAGAGGAGTTAATGGGGGTGGAGGATTAACATTTGGGGGATAGTTTGCCTAGCAACGGACCAAACATCCATTCCCACCTTTAGTTA